GCGGCGGCGGCGGGAGTGGCGGAGCGGGGCCGCCGCCGCCGGGAACATGCGGCTGCGCGTCTACAAGCGCAAGGTGCTGCTGCTGGCGGCGGCGCTGGCGCTCTGCGCCCTGGCGCTCTGGGGCACCGGCGGCGGCGGCGGACGGCGGCGGCAGCAGCAGCAGCAGCAGCAGCAGCAGCAGCAGCAGCAGCGGGGCGGTCCCGGTAGCACCGGGGAGCCGCCGCGGGTCAGCGAGCCCGCCCCCCCCGCGCCGCCGGTGCCGCCGCGCCGCCCCGCCGCCAACGCCTCCGCTGCCGCCGCGGTGGTGCCGGCGGAGCTGTCGGAGAACGCGACGCTGAGTTACCGCTCGCTCGTGTACCGGCTGAACTTCGACCAGCCGGTGCGGAACGCCGGCCGCTTCCCGGCGCGGCCCGACCTGGTGCTCGTGGTGCAGGTGCACGACCGCGCCGAGCACCTGCGGCTGCTGCTCGAGTCGCTGCGGCGGGCGGCGGGCGTGGAGAACGTGCTGCTGGTGCTGAGCCACGACCTGTGGGCCGAGGAGCTGAACCGGCTGGCGGCCCGCGTGGACTTCTGCGCCGTGCTCCAGGTGTTCTTCCCGTTCAGCATCCAGCTGTACCCGCGCGAGTTCCCGGGCCACGACCCCCGCGACTGCCCCCGCGACGTGGGCAAGGCGGCGGCGCTGCGCCTGGGCTGCATCAACGCCGAGTTCCCGGACTCGTTCGGGCACTACCGCGAGGCGCGGTTCGCCCAGACCAAGCACCACTGGTGGTGGAAGCTGCACTTCGTGTGGGAGCGCGTGCGGGCGCTGCGGGAGCACGCGGGGCCCGTGCTCTTCCTGGAGGAGGATCATTACCTGGCCCCCGACTTCTACCACGTCCTCAAGCAGCTCTGGGCCCTGCGCCAGCGCGAGTGCCCCGAGTGCCAGGTGGTGTCCCTGGGCACCTACAGCCCCGTGCGGGGCGGGTTCGCCGGCCGCGCCGACAAGGTGGAGATGAAGACGTGGAAGTCCACGGAGCACAACATGGGCATGGCCTTCGGCAGAGACACCTACCAGAAGCTCATCGAGTGCACGGACGCCTTCTGCACCTACGATGACTACAACTGGGACTGGACTCTGCAGCACTTGACTGTCTCTTGTCTTCCAAAGTTCTGGAAAGTGCTGGTTCCCGAGATCCCCAGGATTTTTCACACGGGGGACTGTGGCATGCACCACAAGAAATCCTGCAGACCGTCCACCCAGAGTGCCAAAATCGACTCTCTCTTGAACAGCAACCAACAGTACCTGTTTCCCAAGACGATGAGTGTCAGTAAAAGGTACTCCATGGCTCCCCTGTCCCCTCACGTCAAAAACGGAGGGTGGGGAGACATCAGGGACCACGAACTCTGTAAGAGTTACCGCAGACTCCAGTGAGGATCCTTCTCTTGCAGCCTTCTTTTCTTCTTGAGTTGTCCCATTTTGTCTTTTACAGGCACACACGTGTATAAACAGCATTTATGAGTTGGTTTTCTGCTTTAATATGAATAAACATTCTTGTTTAAAGGTGTCCCAAAATAGTAATCTCTCATGTTTGGCAACCACGTTTTGGAAATGGGTGATGTGCTGCAGCCCCTACACAAAAAGTGACCTGCTGCTGAGTTTGCTGGGAGGAGGAGGAGGAGAACACTTTTTAAGTGCATCTTTTTTGGTGCTGAAGCTCTGGTGGTGCCCGTGACACCGCGCCGGGGGGGCCCTCGTGTGCTGTCCCACCCGGGGTCACCTCATGCCTGATCCCTGTGTCCCGGCTCGGTTGCGATGTGTCGATGAAATATATGAAGGATGGAAAAATAAATTCATTGTTTTTACTACAATGTAGATAAATATATGATTTTTTTAGTTCTGCCGAAATAAAAAGTCAGTTGTTTTGTAATTGCAGAGAAGTCCTTGATTGTCACCAAAAGGATGATGTCATCTCGTGTTCCTAAAAAGTCAGGATGGGGCGGGAGGGGAGTTTCTCTTCTTTAATCCTGAGGGCTGGGCACGTGCCATCACCCCTTCTAGCAGTGTGCATTTAACTTCATTAAATTTTTAACGACACTCATTAATTGAGGCAGAAAAAAATAGCAAATTGGTGGCACAACACTTCTTTTGTTTGGATTAAATAAAAAAAAAAAAAAGTTGGTTTTGGATTAGCCATGTAAAACCACCAGTAAAAAGTGCTGCTGTGATCTGGGCTGATCTGGAGTTGGGAGCTACAGAGCTGTTTGTTGTCACTACAGCTGCTTTCGTGGCACTGCTCTCTGAAGCACAGCTGGTAACAGGAGCACCTCAGCAGCTTTTTGTAGAACAGAGAAGTATGTCAGAGAAACAAAATGTCTTTTTTTTTTTTTTTCCCAGGGTTATTTAACTACAATTGCAACACGCTTGCTCTCTGTTGTTTCACGGGGTCAGGGGTGATGATGAAGCTGTGCTGGTGCCTCAGCCCTCAGAGACCTCCCCCAAAAAGCTGAGGGGGGTTAAACTTAACCCAGCAAAGCCCTTGCCCTCCTGCAGCGGATGTGCTGCCCTGGAGGGCAGGGCAGGTGTTTTGGCAACTGTGGCTTCACTGAACTCAGAAAGTAACACACCACACACCCCACTGCACACACTCATGTTTCACACAGAAATGTGACAGTAATTCCAGAGCAGCCCTGAAACAAGGCAAATTTAACTTTCCTCTAAAGCACCTCTGTGTCTTGTAGAGCTCAAACAAAAACAGAAGTTGGTTCAGCACCAGTGAGAAAGGGAACTGGAAGTTTATTATTAGATGTGTTCTTTTGGTTATGGCACTTCAGAGAGGTGAACCAGCAACGAGCACGTGGAAACTCGAGGGAAACTGTGAAAATAAATCTGGATAAAGTGAATCCGTCTCCCAAATTGTAAATACTTCACAGCACACGTGCACCCAGAGGATGTTGTTACTGTGCAATGGAATTCGTTCAGCTGGGGGATGTCTGGGTGCTGCAAAGCACTGCACTAGGATGGAATACAGGGTGTAGATGTTGATTATTTCTAGGAGACTAATTAGAACTTCTCCGGGTAATTAGAAATTTCATTTGATTGCTAAAAATCACTGCGAGTCTAATCCTGCAGTTATCACAAAATGAAAGGTTTGAAAAATGATGAATACTGCTCAATTCCCAAGGGAGCCATTAGACCAAGGATATATACAAATAATCCCTGAAATCTGGTAAGAGAATAAAAAAGTTATGTAAACAATGAAGATACATTTTCTTCCAGGAGCTCAGATTCACTTCCAGCTGCATCCTTCTTGTAATAAAACTACTTCAGCCCATACATGTGATTAGAAAACAGATCTATTAACTGCAAAAATTGTAACAACGTAAGGTTTTGATGCTGAAACAGTTCCAGTGGGGACCTCTGAGCCCTGAAGTCACCCACTAGTATGTGGAAGTCACAAAAAGCATCAAACAACAGAAGGAAATCCTAAACCCATTAAACTAATCCAACTCATACAGCAAGGAATTCTGAAACGCGACGGGGCAGCGCGTTACGTGGTCCCTGAGGACCCGCACGCTCCCGTCCTCAAGGTTCACTTCTCGTAGGAGAGGGGAGGCTGCCCTGCTGTCCAGCCCTGGGGGTTCAGCCTCTTTGTGCCCTTCCACTGCCTCCTGCCCCCCTGGCAGAAGCTCTCCTTGTTTTGCAGAGCCTGGGGCCGTGGCCGTGTCGCCTGCTGCGGCAGCACTTTCTAAATCTGGTTCCTTTCTCCCAGATTCACCAGCAATCGCTGAACTGGTGTCAGGAGGTTCGTGCTCCAAACAATGGTGTGAACTACAACCTACTTTTCCTATTGTTTCAGCTGTGGGAGTCGTGTTGGTTCCTGCAGCACGTTCCCCATCAGCTGCAGGGCAGTTTGTTTCTGCCTTTGTTTCGGGGTAGTCACCGTTGGTCTTTCCAGCAAGGTCTCCCTCTGAGCTGCCAAGTGTTCCTTCTCCATCACGTTCCTGTGGCTGTCAAGGAAATAAATGAGTTATTTTGCAGCTGAAACAAACCATGCACACAAAACTGCTGCCAAGACAGCAGAGACACTTGTTCCTCCAATAGCTGAGCAACTTGGATTGGTGGAATGTCCATGGCAGGGGGTCACGACTGGATGATCTCTAAGGTCCCTTCCAACCCAAACCATCCTATGACTCTGTGATTCTGTGATTCTATTCCACAAAGCCAAGTGAGCCCGGTGCTGGGGTTTTCCTGCTCTTGTCTGGCACGTGGGAATGAGTGGCAGGGAGGTTGCTCACTTCCCGAGGGTTTCCTCTGCTCTAGGAAAAGCTGCTGGGCAGCGGCCAAGCGCCACAGCCGCCGTGGCTGCAGGATTAGGAAAGGCCTTTCACCACACCCAGCCTGTTTTCCAGATCTCAGGGGCCACAAAATCAGCCAAGGGATCTGAACTCCCGTTGCAGGAGCGTGTTTGAACCTTGCAATTAGGGAAATTACCGGCCTGTGGAGCTAATCCAGGAATTGCCATGGTTTGCCTCGGGAGAGGAGGAGCTGTGAGAGGTGTTGTCTAAATGGCAGTTCCCCAGTTGCAACATTATTGAGTGTTTCTGCAAAAAGCTGCTGTTAGCTCATAGGTCCCTATCAGTGGGCAGTCAGGATCAGGCAGGGATCTGTCCAGGAGCAGCTAGATTCATGGATTTAGACAGAGCTGCTCTCTCACACAACCAGCCCTCTCTGAGCCCAAACCTCTGCTCACTCCAGCAAGAGACAAAAGCAACAGCAGTAAGTCCTTCTTCAAACTGGATGATTCTCCCACATAGACACACAATCATGGAACACCCTGAGCTGGAAGGGACCCACAAGGATAATCAACTCCAATTCCTGTCCCAGCACAGGACCAGGAGTGTGATGATTTAAGATATCTCAGCTGCCTTTTCTTAGGCCCCAGAACACACAGATCTGCTTTCCAACACTTTGAATTTTAGATTTTTATGTACAATCCACACTAGCTACACACATTAAGCCTGCCAAGTAAAGCCACTACCTTTGAAAAACTCCTGGGGCCTCCAGCCTGGTTCCAAAGGTCACTTTCTCCATCTGAACTTGCCTCCAAACAAGCCACCTACACATTAACTCTGTCTGCAGACCCCAGTTCATGGCCACAGCAGTGACCTGACTGTCCCTGCATTTTATGTTTCCTTTAAGAAAAGTTTAATCCGAATTTCTGATGCAGTACCTGCCAAGAAATCCCAGTTAATGTGGGGGGCTTTACATTTCCCTCTTTGCAAAACTAACATTTTGGTTTCTTCTTCTGCCCATCTGTTTTGCAACGGGAGCACATTTGAATCCTGTGACAGATCCCAGAAACACCCTGTCTTGCATCCTCTATCTAGACAGGGTGACTGAGGAAGAAGAGTGGCCTGAATGAGGCCTGAAACATTACAAATGTGAATTTGAGACCAGTGTTTAAGATTAATAGCCTCATGTTTAATTATCTACACAACAGGAACCCCCCAAGTATTCAAATGCTTGGACTGAATAAAGATAACGAGACATGATCCTTCCCAGACAAAATCCTCTAGGATTTCTCTACCTGTGCAAGGCTGAGAGAGTGAAGTATTCCTGCAAGGAGAAAGCACTGTCTTTAAAGACTGGATCACAGTTCTCCTTTTTCAAGTGAAATATAGGAGGTTTCAATCCCTTGGTCACGTTAAATGGCACAAACACAACCTGTGCTTCTGAAAATTGACAGTTCTACTTTTAAATAACCCCACTCCCCGTTTTTCCCCACTCTGTGAAGACAAAACAGGAACAGAGACGTATCAGTGGGATTTGATAGGATCTTGCTGAAGAACATAAATCAGCCAGAGCGTGTGCTGCTCCCAGAGAACCTCACCTCCATCCTGATTTGAATTCTGTCCTCAGAAACCTCCAGCACTTCAATTAATGGCTGGCTTTCCAGTGCTGATTGGGAGCAAGAAGAAGGGCATAAAGCAGTGCCTAGAAATCCATCAATGTTCTCTTCAGTGACAAACAATCTTTCCTAAAGAAAAAAAAAAAAGAGAAAGAGCAGGTTATGTTCTTTTTGTGCTAAACTTTAGTGATATTTGGGCTAAAAACTCACTGCAAAGAAAGCCAGGACACTTCACAAGTTTCACAGCTCATTCAAGCCTTGATAGAGAAATTCTGAGCCAGACATTCAGAGTAACGAGGTGAAATGGATGAAGAGCAGTGCTTAGCTCATGTGGATTGAAATCACAGATCAGCATCACACCAAACATAAAAGTGCTTTCTCTCTATGGACACATGACTAATATACAGATTTAGACTCTCTCTGAGGAATGATTTGCACCAACATCGTTTCCCTGTCCTCACCTGGCTTAACACCAGGAAGGTGTGACACTGTTATGAGTTTGTTTCATGTGCTTGGGAAAACACAAACACCTCCTTGGAGTGTCCCCACGGGATCTGTGAACCCTCAGCTCCAAGATCAGATATGGAACACGCAGGGCTGTATCCATTTCACACCCAGCCAGGGAGGCTGCTCAGATCTCCATGCAGACAAGCCAGTTGGAAAACAAGGAGAGTTATCCAGAGGCAGAGGGACAGCCTGGGGTGTGTTTCCAGGTCGTTCATATGCAGTTCATAAACAATGTGAAACATGTTGCTACAGGTTTAAAGATTTAAATCAGTTACAGGTAATTAAAGGTCCTAAAACACATCCTGGAGGGGCTGTTTCGTAAGAACTGCAGAGCTTTCCCCGCGCTTGTGTTATTCCTAAATCATCTGTGTAGGCTGAGGGTGAGGACAGACTTTGGCACAATAAAAATGTTCTGACCTAGAGGAGTGTTTTGTGCTCTGGGAATTACCTTTCCTGTTTAATTGGAAGTAACAGGGAGAAGTTGCAAACCTTCCACTTTAAGTCACACTTTAAAATTTCTCGGTCCAGTTCAACCCTCTTGTCAATCCAATGGAAGTTAAATTCAATTATCACTGACATCTTGCAGACTGAGAAGCAAAAAAGGCAATTCTGCACATTTTTGGCCCCCTGTGGACGTAGCCTTATGCACAGCCAGATGTCACATTGTGTCTGAGGTACAAAATTTAACCATCATCTTGAAAAAAAACCCAAACAGTATGGGAAAAATAACCCAGCGTCCTATTTTTTCCACTATTAAAATTAGAAATCACAATATGGAAAGTCATAACATAGATATTGTTGGTTTTCCAAGCCAGAGGATTGAATTCATTTTCTATCCAGAAAGATTACAATCCAGGCAAAGAGCCAGCTTTGGATGCTGAAACTGTTTGGGGGAAGATTAAAGTACAGCAGGGCTGCCCTGACAGAAAACCCTCCCATAACATACCTACTCCTTGCATTTCTGTCTGCAAAGCCTAAAATAGTTATTCCCTAATGTTATATCCTTTCCTGCCTGCCAGAGAAGGACCTGCCAGTGCCCCAGGATTGTGGGAATACTCTCCAGAGTCCAAGAGAAGGTGTCAGAGTATGGAAACAGAGACACCCTTCACTAGACCAGGTTGTTCCAAGCCCCATCCTACATTTCCTACACAAAATGGGGAAAACAGTCTATTTTCCCTCTGAACCTGCATCTGGCACACGTGGTTGCCTGAGGGAGGGACAGTCCTCGATGCAATCAGGACTTTGCATTTTGGCAACAAACCCAAGAAATCTTTCTGAAGATTTTCTTCCCGATTAACAGTAAAAGAATTTCTTTTCTTCCCAGTAAATACTGTTAAAAACGGAAGGTCTGTTATCAGGACAAGGTTCTTCCCCCCGAGGGTGGTTGGCACTGCACAGGCTCCCCAGGGCAGTGGGCATGGCCCCAAGGCTGCCAGAGCTCCAGGAGGGTTTGGACAACTCTCTCAGGGACAAGGTGGGATTGTTGGGGTGTCCTTGGCAGGGCCAGGAGTTGCACTGGATGATCCTTGTGGGTCCCTTCCAGCTCAGGATATTCCATGATTAATCAGTACTTAACAGGAGGATAAAAAGTAACCACTTGTGATGTTGTTCTGTTAATTTTGACCGATTGCTATAAAGTTTCATTCCAGCCCAACACCCTACTCCCGTAAGTATTTAACGTTTTGTCCCAGTCCTACCCCATGGCCTGCCATAAATCACAGCACCTTGGATGTGTTTGTTGTCACTAAGGTGATTATCATTAGCCTGAGACTGTAACTCAGACTTTGAATTCACGGGGAGCACACGCCGAGGCATTTATATTACTGCAGATGTTATCAAAGCCTAGACCTTGGAAAAAAATGACTCAGGCATTTATTCTAAAGCCTGCTCTGCCTTCCAAGCCAGAGCAAACAGAGGACAACCATCTGCAGATGATTTCAATGACCCTGTAAAATAATTCGTCGGCTTAAACCGTTTATTTTCTGGTATTTATGATCCTCTCTTAGCAACTTCCAATTTAATTTGTTTCTCCCTGCACACACTGTCATCTGCTGTTTGGTACACATTCATTTTTCCCTGTGACTAAACTGAGACCAAATTAACATAAACGTTAGCAGGAAGGACTTTGGTTTCTAGAGCACTTCATCATTCAAAGCCACCCTTGTCTCTCACAGCACCGACGGTGCAAAGCTGGGCCCCTCACGGCTGCCCTCAGCAATCAAACGGGTTTATTCTGCCTCACTTTATCCAAATTCGTAGCCAATTTCCATCCAGAGTTACCTCCCACGCAGGCTGCAACAGTTTTAAAAGCAGCACAGATTTCAGGTTTAAATTATTTGTGTGCCTCCTGCAATGAGAAGCTCAGAGAACCCCAGAATCATGGAATGGTTTGGGTGGGAAGGGATCTCAAAAACCATCTCGTTTCCACCCCCTGCCATGGGCAGGGGCACCTTCCACTGGACCAGGCTGCTCCAAGCTGGCCTTGAACACTTCCAGGGATGGGGCAGACATATCCTCTCCAGGAACAACCACCAACTCAATATGGAAAGGGACCTGGATCTGTGGATCTCCTGGCCTCTGGCTTTGTAGAGTCCCAGCACAAACCAGCTCAACATGAGAATTTGAAGCTCAAATTTTCATACCTGTAGTGGGGTGAAAACTTTTCCAAGGAGCTCATGACTGCAAAGATTAAACAGCTCAAAAGGAGCTTTGATGAGCTTAATCAGTAGGTTAATAATGTTTCCTGACATAAATGTTTTGTGTAGACATGTTATTCCCAAAACGCAACTACCAATTAAAGGCTATGCAGAAATTAGTTTGTTTTATAGCAGAAGCAAACTAATTATGGTTCTTAATGCAGCTTGGGAAGGAGATTACTCTGAAAAATATGAAATAATAAGTTTGTTCTGTTCTCCTTCTCTGTCCTTCCTTGACCTCCCCAAAAACTTGCCAAGAGTCTTGAAATGATGAGCACAGAATTAACTGAACCAAAAATAAACTGCTGTAGGATTACACACAACAGCTCCAGCTTCCAGCAGCATGTTCTTAGAAGTGACCCCTGACTATTGTATTAAGTCTTTATAGTAGCTTGGAGATTGAAAATTATAACCTTGACTTTCAAAGAAAGCATGTAACAACTCCAAACAGCTTGGAAATGAGGGCAGAAGAGCTCTCCAGGATGGATTTCTCCCTGAAAAGTGGCAAAGCCATAAAACACCCGTGTCTTACACTTCCCAACATGGCTCTCTGGGTTTCATGCTTGGTTGACTCTCAAACCAAGAAAAACATTTATCCACAAGGGCCCTAATTCCAAGATCACGGAGTACAAGAACAGCTCCAGCACGGCCCCAGCAGTGAGCCCACAGGAGCACATCCAGCCCACGGCCTTTTCCACATGTTCCCTCTGTGCTGGGAGCAACACAGCTCTGCCACCTGCAGCCACACACAGGTGACTTACATTTAGATGGGATATTGGGAAGAAATTCTTCCCTGTGCAGGTGGTGAAGCCCTGGCACTGCCCTTGGACACTTCCAGGGATGGAGCAGCCACAGCTTCTCTGGGCAACCCGTGCCAGGGCCTCCCCACCCTCCCAGCCAGAAATTCCTTCTCAATATCCCATCTCTCCCTGCCCTCTGGCAGTGGGAAGCCATTCCCCTTGTCCTGTCCCTCCATCCCTTGTCCCCAGTCCCTCTCCAGCTCTCCTGGAGCCCCTTTAGGCCCTGCAAGGAGCTCTAGGGTCTCTCCAGAGCCTTCTCTTCTCCAGGTGAACACCTCCAGCTCTCCCAGCCTGTCCCCAGAGCAGAGGGGCTCCAGCCTTGTGACCAGTCTAGTGGCCTCTTCTGGACCCACTCCAATGGGTTCACATCTTATTTTACCAGCACCAAAAGCTTCCAAAACATCTCCTTCACAAGACACTGGTGTCTGTGGCAAGCAGAAAAATCACACCCACCCAAAACATCCTCTATGGAGGCATCAACACTCATAGAGAAGTTAAACAAAGCTTCCACGTTGCTGTGCAATTCCTCTTTGGATACCTCACAAAGAGAATTAACTCATGCTTAGCTCCAACCATGAACTCCTCAGGAATGTTCAGTATAATATTTTTCAGACTGTAAATGTTAAAAAAACGTAATGCATAGGAAAGCAGAGGAAATATTTCTGTTTTCCTCTGCTCCCCTGCTGTTCTCTGGAGCCCCGGGGGGTTTATGTGAGTTAAATCTTAATATTCTCCCTAAGAGGAGATGGGGGTTTATGAGGAAAGGGATGGTCTGGCTGTGATTCCTCCTGCAGTGAGGGGTTCCCAGGGGGAAGCACTGACCAGGGAATGAGCACACATCCTGTGAACTAACTCACTCCAGGCCGCTGAGAGGGGCAGGAAGGGTGTGGATCAGCATAAAAGGGAATTCCTACGTGACCCAATTTTTTTCTAATCCCATGAAAATGAGCACACACGACCCCAAAACTGCCAGCAGAATTAATTAGCTACCACATGTGTTTCACATGCTCTGATAACTGAGCCTCCAAGTCTCAGGAGTTCAATACACCCACTAGAAAACTGCTTTTTATTTCTGTTAAGAGTTGAGCATTTAACCCCAGGAGGCCAAACATTCCAAGACAGTGCTTTCTGAAGGCACGATTTCCATCACTGCCCAACTCCTGCTCTACCATAAACCAGGACACACTGGGACATGTGTCAAACAGGACAAACCTTGCCTGGCAGGCTTACAAATTTTATTAATGGTTATTTAACTCTCAGTCATTCTTTCTTCATCATTTACTCTCCAGGCTGTGTTGTCTCGAAATGAAGGGCAACTCTCTGATGCAGGAGTTTCCCAGGCCTGAATTTAAGGATTTAAGGAAAAGATGCAGCAGGTATTAGTGGATGAACTGCAATGGAGGGAGCACAGCCCATGGCTGGTCCTTCGAGGCAAACAGCAGACAGTGATTTTTGGCAATGGGGAAGCCAGGAAGATTCCTCAGGTTATTCCCTGGAAAAACAGGGCCTGGAGCGAGCCCTGCAGAAGGGTCAGTGCTGTGTGGTCTCTGGTGCAGTGATGGAGCACCAGGGCAGTGACCTGGTCACCTTTAAACCCATGAAATACGTGACCCTGGTCCATGATACCCCAAGCTATGGAATCTTTATTTTTATAGGATTTCTGGTCAACAAGTCATAGAATCATTTAGGATGGGAAAGACTTCCAAGATCATCAAGTCCAGCCGCTGTGTGGACATTATAGTTTAGCCAAGGAGTGAAACTACTCACAGTTAAAGTGCAGGGGGGACTGTGGCACTATAAAGATTTCCTGAAAAGAGGTAAGGGTGGGAAATTCCAACTGCTCAGCATCTGTGGAAACTGAGCTCTAAACGGGTCATCTTCCAGCACAGGGATTAGCCATAGATGACTACAAAGGGAAAAGCAGTCCTTGAAATTCTGTTCCAAGCACAGTGTCCCAAGGACAAGCTCAACTCATTCTTCTACCAGTATCTGGATCAGACCAATTTCCAAGAAGAAACTGGCAGTTAATGGGAGAGAACTGGGCAGCAGCCCAGGGTGGTGGAAGAGCCACTGTGGAACAGGTTTCCAGCGAGGGGCAGATTCTGAACTAACCCAGAGGAATTTGCTCCATGCAACAACACAACAACCCTCAGTCTCCAGTAGGAAGCAACTTCCCAGACAACAGCAGAGTAGGAATTCTATATCTGTTAAAAAAAACACTGGCCAAACTGGATGGAGCTCTGAGCAACCTGGATTAGTGGAAGGTGTTCCTGCCCATGGCAGGGGGTGGAATGAGATGGGCTTTAAGGTCCCTTCCAACTCAAACCATTCTGGGATTCTCTGATTCCATGATTCACTTTTGCCATGCACTGTCCTCTGGCAACACTGCTGTGGGAGAAGAGATGATGAACAAGCACACTGGGAAGTGCAGGATAAAATTCCTGCTCCCCTCAGCCACCAGAAGCTCCTTGAAGGGATCAAACAGGGCACTGCTTTGTGCACTCTGCAATGACTGATGCAACTCCTTACAGGTCTCAGTGCAAGAACAACAGCTCTGATTTATAGAATGAGAGCCAAAGCAGAAAAACATCCAAAATTACATCAGACAAATTGAAGAAATCAACAGAAGTAGAAGAAAAGCGACCAGGAGCAAATAGTTAATGGCCAGAAGACAGCATATAATAGTGGCTCTAATTAAATATTAATTTTTCTCCCTTCACTCTGAGTGAGTGCAGCTCTCAGTGCTGGCACAGGCACTCCGGGGGAATATCATTTTAAAGAAAGCAAACAGAACAAATGACTTCAGTTTATTTCTCCTGCTTCAGTTTGCAGGACCAGTGTCCAAAGGACTCCAGGCCAGGAGAATCTTTTGGAGTCTGCTATGTGAATGAATGGCTGGGAAGCCTATGACTAATGCCCAATCTCTTCCTCCTACTCCACCCAAAAGGTTTTGCAATATATATACTAAAATCGGCACATTCAAGGGGTTTTTTTTAACTCACAAACTCAAAATCTCATTACTGGGTGGCCTTTTAGCAACTTCCAATCACAAGATATTCCCCCAGTCGTAATAACAAATGCACACAAACCACTAGTGCAGCCACCAACCCAGCACCACCACCATGCTCATCACTAAACCATGTCCTCAAGTGCCACACCCACACGTTTTTTGAACACTTCCAGGGATGGGGACTCCACCACTGCCCTGGGCAGGCTCTGTCCCTGTGCAGAAAACAGGCAGTAGTTTACACAGTGGCTTATTTGACGTGGCAGCAGCACCCAGTGCCCGATCCCAGCCACTAACAGCAGTGCTGAGGGCTCTGTGGCCCCACTTGCACAGACTTGCAAGGCTTCTGCTCCACTAAAAGCAGAGGAAATGCTCTGCAAACAGCTCAGCGTGGGTGGTTCTCCATAAATTCATCATCTTTGATACTTCCCCGAAATGATCAGCTCCTCCTTCACAGGAATTGCTGTTATGAAAGGTGTGCAGCCGCTAAATGGGACATTAAATGCGATGTTTCAGCTGCACAAACACTAATTGGATAAATATCTTTCAAAATCATGCACAAGTAATTTCTAGTGGTAGGGAAGGAGCAATTAAGCTGCTCCAAGGCAAGTCTATCCCAGTGGATATACTTGAAGCCTGCCAGCTTTCTGGACTTGCACTCCCACAGCACATGATCCAAAATGCAAAGGATTTTATTGCTCTAAAATCAAGCCAAACTTCAAATCCCATGACTGGAAGGTTACACAAGAGCCATGTGGCCTTAATCCCTGCTCATAAGAAGCTGTTTGAAACTCTGAGCTTACAGAATAACGTGGTTTTCCACAAAACTTGTGTGTATCTGGACAGTGAGAGTGCCACGAGGTGGGCATCCCTTTGGGGACACTGGCAGCTCCCAGGGGGCACTGTCACCTGGATGCAGCCACCTCACCTCCCACCATGGGAGCATCACTGCCGAATGACCCATAAAATCATAAACCACTAAACTGGAATCATATCCAGACAGGGAGGAAGGAAAGGTGAAGATTTATCCCAGCAAAATGGACAGTTCACAGCTGCTGTTTGCTGTTCTGCTCTGGTTGAACTAATGCTGTAAGTGGGAATTCTGTCCCAAAATACAGACACAGGGACCCTCCACCCACACTCCATGACAGTGTATGCACATGAGTGGATGCCTGGTGTACCATAAACATCTCCTTTCTTTGTGTGAACAAGCTGCACAAGCAATTTACTTGAGTTAAAAGTGAACACTAAGGACGTAAAGGTCAGGGCAGGCTTTGTTTTCACTTATCACCACAATTTCCCTTAGAAAAAAGTCAGCGTGGGAGACAGAAGTCATTGCAAACCCAAGGATGAAGGTGTCAGCTCCGTGATGTGACCTTGGACAAGATTTGCTAAAATCAGGTCACTCCACTCACATGCGGGAGCAGCTCTCAGAGGAAGCAACTTCTGTCTCTACCAGCTTTGAACTCAACCTCACACCTCCCCGAGACATCGCTCACCAACGAAGCCAAACATGAGCCACACCCAGCAGCGGAGCAGCGGCTCTCCGGGGAGGGGACACCCCAAACCTGCCCCTTTGAAGCCATTACCTGCAGAGCGGAGGGGTCGAGGCCGAAGCTGAACTTCTCCCAGGGCCCGGTGCTGTCGGGGGCCTTGGCCAGCTCCACAACCACGTTGTGGGCAGAGACGCTGACTCCGGTCTCGGGGCTCAGCAGCCTGTTTGCGGGAGGGAACTGCAGGAACAGGGCAAAGGCACCGCTGTCAGTGGAGAAGCGCAGGCTGTAGTGGTGGGTGCCCACGTCCCCGCAGAGGCTCTGGGGATGGATGCCGGGCACTGTCAGGAGCAGGGTGAGGGACGCCTCGTCCTGCCGGGCCTGGAAGGGAGGGCACGTGGCGCCCATCCCGGCGGGGCTGCGCTCTGCGGCCGGCGGGGGGCTCGGAGGGGCGTCCTCGGCGGGCACGGCCGGCTCGGGGCTGGCGATGGGGGGAGCGGCGCTGGAGCGTGGTGGTGGGTTGGGGGGCTCAGTGGGTGATTCAGCGGGTGGCTCAGGGGGTGGTCCAGAGGGGGGTTCAGCGGGCGGTTCAGTGAGTGGTTCGGCGAGGGGCTCGGCAGGTGGGTTTTGGGGTTCAGCGAGTGGATCAGTGGGGGATTCAGTAGGTGGTTCAGTGAGGGGTTCTGCGGGTGGTTCAGCAGGTTCAGTGAGGAGTTCAGCGGGGGCATCAGCGGGTTGTTCTGCGGGGGGTTCAGAGCGGAGTTCAGCGGGGGGCTCGGTGGGTGGACCACAAAGGGGGCCAGGGGGGGGGTTCGGGGGGGGGCTCGGTGGGCGGATCCCCGGGTGGATCCCCGGTCTCCCCGCCGCCCCACGTGCTCCGGGCCGCGCCGCCGGGGCCCGGGGGAGGAGCGGCCCCGCCGCCCGGCCCAGCCTCCGGCGGCTCGCCCAGCGGCTCGCCCGGCCCCTTCGCCGCGGGCTCGGCCCCTTCCCGCCGCTGCCCGGCGGGGGCCGGCGGCACTACGGGCAGCGTGACCTGCAGCTGCCGCTGGGCCCGGTTGAAGGCGGCCCGGCCGCCGCTCTCGTCCACGGCGTAGGGCAGGCGCAGGCGCAGGCGGTAGGCGGGACGGACCGAGTCCAGCCTGAGCTCCCGCCCGCGGATCTCCAGCTCCGCCTGCGCCGCCGAGCGCAGCAGCGGCAGCTCCACCGTCACCACCAGCTCCCGCGGCACCGGGCTGGGCGCCGAGTCGCGGCTGTGCCGGTAGTCCTGCAGGTCCACGTAGGAGCGGTGGCGGATGCTCCAGCGCGGCGTGGTGGGGCCGGCGGGCGGGGCGGCTCCGGCGGCGGGCGGGGCGGGGAAGGGAGGCGGCGGCAGCGAGTCCCCGCCGGCGGCCGGCGGCGGGGCGGGGTAGGGGAAGGGCGGCAGCGGGGACTCCTCGCCGTCGGGCGGCTTCGTGGCGCCGCCGGGCAGCGGGGAGCGGATGACGGGCGCCTGCGGGACGCCCTTGTAGCGGGTCCCCCGCAGCACGGCGGCGTTGGCGCGGTCCAGCCGCACCCCGCACTGCCGCTCCACGGCGTCCAGGGCCGTGTCGCAGAGCAGGCGGCGGAACGGGGCGCTGCGGGCTGCCAGGCGCAGCGCGGCCGGGTGGAACACCACGTCGTAGAGGAGGCGGCGGCGGCTACCGCGGCGCAGCTCCTCGCGGCCCGGCGCCAGGCTGTAGGGCAGGGCCCAGCGCTGCCCGCCGCGCTCGGCGTGGGCCTGCGGCTCCGCCAGCATCGCGTTGCTGCACACGTTGATGTAGCAGCGGCGGGAGCCCTCCTGGCTGGTCCGCAGCACGAAGCCCGGCGAGGGGTGCACGAAGCGCACCTCCACGCCGCGCTCCCGTTCCAGCGCCGCCACCTCCTCCTCGTACAGCCGGCGCTGCTCCGGGTCGGTGAGCTCCGCCGCGTACTCGGCGAATAGCGCGCGGAACTTCTCGTCGCGGAAGGCGTCTCGGAGGCGCTCGGCTTCCTCGGCGCTGAGGTCCAGGTCGTGCAGCCGCCCCGCGCCCGCCATGGCCCCGCACGGCCCGGGCGGGCTGATGGTGGAGACGCCGAGCAAGATGGCGGGCGTTGCTGTGGTAACGGTAAACAAGATGGCGGGCGTTGCTGTGGTGACGGTAAACAAGATGGCGGCGCCGGGGCACTTCCGTCCAGTTGCTATGGAGACGGCAAACAACATGGCGGGCTCACCCTCACGGTCGAGGCCTCTCCAACCCTGAGTTCTCCATCTGACCTTGCTGAACGTTTCTCCGCCTCTCAGTGTCTTCCTGGTGGCTCTTGGCCCTCGTGCTTGTCTTCAAGTGGGGTGCTTTTCCACCATCATCTCATCCGTCTGAAAATGCTCCCCACTTGTCCTGCATCCCTGAGCTGGCACTGCCATCCCCTCAGGGAGCACGTTCAGAAGTGCCAGTGCAGCCTGTCCTGCGGTTTGGGTTTAAGTCTTTGGCAGTCCAGTTCATGCCTCTTGTACCCACCTCCCATCCCCTACCCGATGGCCCCTCAGAGCCCAGATCCTGCTCTCCCTCTGTTCCTGCCCCTGAGCTGTTCTCAGGCCATGCCAGCACATTGGGAAGGGTCTGTGAAACACAATTCCTGCTGACAAGGGTCCCCTCTCTGTTCTACACCTGATCTGGGCACTTTGGGGTAATCCCAGGCTGCTTCTCTGGTCTCAGTGCCCATGAGCACGTAGAGGAGGTTTTTACTTGGTTTCATCAAAAACCAATCCCTGACTCTTTCCCACCTTCCTGACTGCTCCCTTCTGCAAGATTTCCTCCTCCCAGCCTTCTCCAGAAGTTCAAAGGACCATGTCCTTGCTCGTCTTGCCTCTCCTCTCCCTATCTGCATAACACAATCTGCAAACAGATTATGTACTGCCATCAAACAACAACACACAAATCTTTTCTGGCCCTTTCCCACCCAAAGACAAATCCTATTCCACATTCCCCGTATCTCCTGCAGATAACCAGCTCTCAGTTCAACTAGACGAAGTTCTCTCTATACTTAATTTATTTTTTTAAAGACAGATCTTTCCTGGTTTATACACAGTTGCCTTTTTCTATGCTTTGGCAATTCTTGACTCTGACTCTACATTTTACACTAAACTGACACCAGTGTTTTTTCCTGTAAAAGTTTATTTGTAAACAAAATTTGACATTTATTATAAAAAGTCCATAATACATCATAAAATCAAGACATCTAAAAAATAAGAGCTGGAGTTGGCTTCACATGGGCTCACTCCCTTTTTGCCATCTTGCAGAAATTCAGAGCCCCTGAAGCTTGCTGAAAATACCAAAAAAAAAATACTTAGGGTTTTTTTCCTAAAGATAGTTCACAATACCATTCTATGTCTTGCTCTATTAAAGACTTGATAATGTTTTAAACTATTTAAAGACCTAAAGTATGGTATTTTTTATATTCAAATAAAGGTTGCATGGGCTGATTCATTATTAATTACCTTGGAAGGCTTCTGTAACAAGGCAAGGAACAATAAGACAAGATAAATCTATGCTTTTCCTATGGGGTTATATAATCATTATTTCAAACAGGCAAATTTTCATCCATTGTAAGGCCTTTGATACTTTTAATACTTTTTGGTGTTGCAGCTGGTCTTTTTTCCAGTCACTGGAAGGCCACAGTTGGAATGAATAAGTACAGATTTAAAAATATGTGAAATCAGAGCATGAAAGTGGCTTCTGGGCTTGAAGATGATCACAAAATGAACCAAGAATGTTCCTAAATTTAATTAAGTTATGTAACAAGCATCATCCCCAGAAAAAAATCTGTTTCCCAATCAGGTTTCAATCGTTGAAAAAATCATACAGTACAGTCATTTTTCCTTTTAATTCCGGATTCTGCTTCCCATTATTGATATTTGACTGCAATTTCTCAATTTATTACTTCTGGACATTTGGATTTCTTACCCTGCCTAAGTATGAAGCGTAAGTCAGTTAAATTGATAAAACACTCCCTCTCTTTATGTTATCAATTTTCTGCATTCCTCCTGATAATCAGGAAGTCAGAACACAAGAAACCACTTCATTTTATATGCAAAAGTGAATAGATTTACCTGTCTTCAACTGTCTTGTTGGAGGGGTAGAACACCTTGAACGAAAATCCGCTTCTTGGAAACGAACCCTGTGAGGGAAAAACGTACAAAGCACACTCGTGTAAGTAAAACACTGAACAGATGGTGAGAGACACGTTGGAAGGGCACTTTTTATTTCGGGAAGGCCCCAGGGAATCTTACGGGATTGATGCAGAGGCAGTCGGTGTTGGTGACAGTGAAGGGGTCGTGTTTATCCGCCACGACCAGCACGTCTGGCACGGGATAAACCCTCAGGGAATAGTCGTAGGCCCAGTACACGGGGCTGACGTACAGCGGGAGCGGGGTCAGGTGGCCCTGGGACAAAATGGTCTTCACAAACTGCAAGGGAAACAGAAATCATTGGTTTGAACTGGGTTTTTTTTCAATGCTTGTTAATAAAGAAGCTTTGAACTTGAATGTCGCTGGGTATCTGTCAAAGGGGTCCCGGTCCAAGGGGGGAAGAAGACACACAACACACACGAAGATGGTGAGACAAAGGGATGTCTGCCTGCTCAGAGCAGCAGGCAGCCTTTTATTAGGTTTTTCTACCTCTACTTTCTCACACATAACACAAACATCTTTCTACACAAATACTAAGGAATGTGCACCTGCACACAGCTCCAGGCTGTGTCCATGGGGATTATCTGGTTGGCTTCACTGGTCCCATGAAAAACGGCCCAACGCTCCACAATACTCCAGAGTCCTCAGACTTCAGTTGTGGGGCTGTAACTTCCCCCCACATTGTGCTGTCCAACTCTCAGGGCCGCTTCCATGGGAATAGGCAGCCACCTCCACCTTTCTCCCTGGTCTTACTCCCCTCAATGCCTCCAGCTCTTCTGCTTCCAGGGGGCCCAGGGGTTCCATGGGCCTGCCATCTCCCCCCACACTTGAAGATGGTTTCTTTTTTTTTTTTTTTTTGTATCTGACTCCCTCTGATTGTTAATAATTTCTGGGGTAAAGAAGCAGCTCCCCCCCAGCACTCAGCTGCTCTTTTCATTTTTGTATTGTGGGGGTTTTCGATACACAAAGTCCTTTTTAAAGCATATCAGGTAATATTTGAAGATATCAAAACTACTTGATCGTTCAGACTCTCTGAGAAAATCTACTTACCTGTTCCTCCAGCCCAGGAAGTACCAACAATGCCATAAATTTCATTTTATAGATTGTTTTTTTCCCCCCATGGCTTTCCTTACAGTATTAGTTAACAACAAAATCCACGCTTTAACAGTCTTTCCCCTGAACCGAGGAAATTATTTGATTCCCAAATGATTTCGATTCCTTTCTTAGCAACAAAATTTCCCTCATTTTTTAACACTGTTGAATTAAAAAAAAGTAGTGAGAGGGCCAAAAAAGGCAGAGAAAAAGTGGAGTATGCAAAAGCATCTGCAGAAAGAGTTTCTATACATAATTCTACATTTTCTTTCGTGATTCCTTCCTGGAAAGGAAGCCCTCAGTGAGCACAGGGAAGTGACAGGAATGCCAATGTGCACACCAAAATCAAGGTACATCGCTGTCCACTGTGGGTTCACAAAGACACTGAGCACTGTTGTGATGAAGGAAGAAAGAGCTAAAACAAGTTTCTGAGTCAAGCAAACAAACAAACAAAAAAAACACCTGTAAAATAAATAAAACCAGGTTCTATCCATCACTGCAATAAGCCAGTACTACCTGCTTCATTCTCATCCAATTATATCAGTAAATCCCATCAGCTCCTGCTGAGGGTTCATTAACTAGGGCCATAATCTGATGTATAAAAAGCAGGATTAAGACTTCAAGTGAGAAGACAAAACAAGCAGGTGAATTTTTTGAAAAGTGACATGCTGCTTTACTGCAAATGGCACTGGATAACCAATCAAATCTCCAAAAAAAATAATTTGTATTCAACTTTGCCTTTAGGAATCCATGTTTCTTGGTAGACATTCATGGTTGGTGCACAGAAAATTGGCTGCCAGGAAGTTTTGTGTTCAAGGGCACCTGCAGTGTGACAGAATGACTCAATACCACCTGAAAGTATCATGGTTTGAGATATTTTACTGTCAAAATGTAAAGAAAAGTAAAAATACTAAACGTATAGATCCTCCTTGCAGTCCCTCTGGGTTCCTCTTGCAATGTGTCGTGAGAATGAGGATCAGAGCACCCAAAATCCAGACCTGCTGATCAACAAAGAGATCAAAAATCTTGGCAAAATGTGCTCAACACCATGACTCACTCACGTGGTTGGGAATGTCCATGTTGCTGCTGGGGAACCTGACACAGTTTCTGCACATTTTGTTGACCAAATCTTCACGAAAGATAATAATTTCTTGGGTGCAGTATTGAATCCTAAGTGGAAAACAGTAATGAAATTAAATAAGATGAACCTAAAAACTAGGGAGCTGCATCATAAAGTTGATCTCCCTCTAATACAGCACATTTGAATTAAAATAATATTTACCCACCTTCCCTTCATTTCCTCCAGATTCAGAAAGACCTGATGCTTTTGAGCAGGATTTTTATAGCACTGTCAAACTTCTAGCTCTATTGCCTTTCATCACTGATTTATTTATGTCTTAATGTATTTAGAACTAGTTACAATTCATGCATGTGAAGAATCCTATTAGTTTGACAAATTTAAGACCAATTTTTGCAAAATTTGTAGGTTTTGAAAATTACATAGATCAGTCATTTAGTAAAATAAACAAATAAATAAAAATAGCACTTGCACCGTTACCTGCAAGGATTTGTGGTGAAAACTGAAAATGGCACCAGCTGTCTGAATTCCTGAGTAATATTTTCAGCCAGGGGAGGTCTAAAATAAATAGCAGCAGATGGATCAACAAAAATTCTTCCCTTCTTTAACTATTTAACTCCAAATTCTTGAGCAAACTGACCTTGGTAAAATAGAACCAGGACCAGGGTCTTCAGGGCCAGGGACAAACACAAATCGACTACTGCAAAAAGTGAAAAGGTATCACTTTTACACAGACTCTAGAAAGCAGGTCTAATGCTAGGAATTCAAAGATCAGGAGCCAGAAAAAAATATTCCAGGGAGAGACCTGGGCTCCCTCATTAGCAGTTTC